CGTAAAATTCCCGATTCGGGTAAAAATTATGGATTTTGAGATGTAAGCCCTTTTGGTCTTCTCATTTTCTCTTACAACTATTTCATTGCGTAAGAACCCCATAAAGACTTATTTTTTAGTCACCACCATTTTCTCATAAAGTCAATCTTTTATTTATCTGATACGTTTTCTTGAGACGTGGTATACGTTTATTTTCGAATAACTTCAGCATTTTCATACAGTCTTCAGTAAACTTTCACGGAGCAGAGAACATTTCAGACTGAAGATTTGTCAGTTGACTTTTCACAATGTGGAATCGACTCTTGTTAGTGGAGTGTGGATTTTCAGGAATTTCTTTGCAAACTTGAATACTACTTAATTAAGAAAAAAAAAATCATTAAAAATTGTCTAACTGATTTAGGAAAAATTTAACAGACTGTTTTGTAGATCTATCTATTGACTGCTAACATGCATGCAAAACAACAACCTATTTCCATGATAATATGTGGGTTATTCATTGCATAAGACATGTCAACAAAATCCAATATGGTCACTGTCTCCATGGCAACTTTTTCTCAAATTTGCAAGCAGATTTTAATACCCCTCATTATGCTTGATATATGTGTGAAATGTGGTAAAAGTTTCATCTACTGATAAGCAAGTTAACCTTCGGGTGTAGCCTCCCTCCATGTAAATTTTAAAGCGATGTCTCGACATGAAAATGACAAAGACAAAAACTTAATAAAGGGATGCAAGTCTGTCAATTGTTGTTTACAGATACGTAGTGTGAATTACGTCCCTTGGATTGTAAATTTTGTTTTGGTGTGGTGCAAGGAATTTAAATTTAAGGGTATAATAAACTTACGAACAGTTCCTGGAGTAAAAAAAAGAAAAAAAAAGAAGAATAACTAGCCCCTTTCGTTGATTGACGAAATTTCCCCGACTAACCGTGCTTTGAAAACATTGCCATTTGGTTTGTACAACATAGAATGTGCACCACATTTAGTTTGTTCTATTGCTGTTTTAATTGATTCATAAATGCTTGAAGGGTAAAGCAGGAGAGTGTGCACCCTTGAATGCTTTTCGCTTTTTAAAGGACTGCCTGTTACTACAAAAACAATTGATTAGATTGGTGACAAAGATCAGATTACTTAGAAGACTGGCTGTTTCCACCTTGCCAGCGATGAATGAAAACGAAAACACCCCCGCAGAAAGACTTTATAAAATGAATTTCCCTGGAGCCGAATTCACCCCCTTTGTGTGCAAGGCGAGGGGCATAAACATTTATTCATAGTCGCTGGAGTACATGGATGAGTGAGACCTACCTCTGTCTTTTTTTTCTTTGTCTTTCCAACATAGTCACACCGTTGGTTTAGATATCTCTTTATGCCATTACTACATAACACGAAATATTTAGCACATTCAGCATAAGCTTACGCGTGCCTTTAAAGTATTCAGAAATCCATTAACTCGCAACCCCCAGGGGCAGTGCCACGGACTGAAGTATCTTTAGGCCATTTCCAAAGGGGGGACATTTCTTGTTCAAGCATAGTAGAATTGTAAATGGGCTGACTCATGTCACGCTCATAACTGTGCCTGATCTACAACAGGGAACTGCTGCTTTTTCTTTCCTGATCCTTACTATTGTCATTTTCATCTACTTCTTTTGCATGTTTGTCACTCTCTTGTGACCTGCTATTTTGGGGTGCTTTGATAGTCGAAGCAGACCTTGTGCTGTTGAAGCTAAAGAGGTGGGCAGTCTTAAGTTTGATTCCCTGTATAGACTTCTCTGTTGACACCCACCCCATGGCGCTCATATGACCTTATGCAGTTGCGAGCACCGCAAACCCTCTACTATAAAAAACAACAACTCGCAAAGTACTTTAAATCAGACATAGTCTACATGTACACCCCCCCCCCCCCACACACACATGAGTATGCGAATTTGTTGGTGACATACCCAAATTGATTATGTGTTCCATAATAATCAATGAATAGAAACAACAATGCTTTCGTTCTTTTACTAAATTAAACGTTATAAAAAGTACAACAATTTTTAAAAATATTGTCACCATCCCTCTTTATGAAAAGGAAAACTTGTGATATTCTAAAAATCTATTTTATAATATTTGTAGGGCTATTCATGGGATCAGATGGGTTTATACATTGTTCTTTGCTAGAAGTCATATGATTTTGGTTAAACAATACGCTTTGTTTTCGGGACTAATTTTTACTTTGAGAGATACTGCAGTTTTATAAGGGGTCAACGACTGAAATAGGAATAGACACAAGAGCTATGAAGAGCTTTGAAGCTAAAAAGAGGTCCTGTCAGTAATAGACAAAGAAACTGTTGGGATCCGTTTATATTTTAAAAAATAACCCACATGGTAATATTCCATGTTCTTATCCGAGTGCCATTGGCATTTCGACCAGTAGTACTGCCATTTTTTCTTGCCCCAAATTCTGGTGGAGAACAACTCAGTGCCCCTACATTACGCCAAGATTGGGGATGTCGAATTTTATATTCCAAATATATCGAGATATTTTGCAGAACAAAGCGCCCACACCTTTGGCCGGTCACGTCATCCTGCTCAGAGAAATGCTAGGACGAATAAAAAGAACAGTACAAAACCTACTCGTTTTAGAATTGTAAACCATCGCAGGTTCATCAAGTGAAATGGTTCCAGAGGTGTCTCAATAATTTAAGCTTTTAAGTGGCCCCTGCCCGGGGGTAAGGTCGAAATGATGTATTCATTCTTAAATTAAGTTAAAATTGTCTTAAACACATTTCGTCGGGGTCACCCCTACATTGCCCCCCCCCCCCCCCCATAGATCGGAGACTTCGGGCGTCATAAAGTAGGCCTAAGTCAAGTACGTTAAAACAGATCTAAAACTACATAAACTTTTACCCTTTTGTTCTGAGAGCTACTTTACATCGATAAAGTCAACAGCAACGAAGATAGCAATTAATACAGCCTTGTTTTGTGTATTCTTTCACTTTTCATCTGTTTAGGTAACAAAGCTCTTTTGGTTTCCTAACGTTCTTGGGGGCGTTCGAAACAAGCGGCACTTTTCACATCTTCCAGCACACAAGGGTATTGACTTTCGTGTTGTTAAGGTAGGACTTTCATATAAACAGGTCAGAGATACTTTCGCCAGTATAAACTGATGTCAAGCACGACCAAGAAAAATACAGATCGCCAGTACAGAAGTGTCAAAACAATAATCCGTTTTTGATACTCCGAAATTAAATCTGTCTGGCGAAGGATGGCACTGGAGATGGAAAGGGAAAAGAAAACATTTTGAAAGTGCGTGGTCGTGTTCACAGTTTTTGTAGTTGTTTTTTTTAATGGTTTTTTTTTTTTGCTACAGTTTCAAAACAGAAGTTTAGTAAAAATAAATATGTTTGTTTGTTAGAGGACACAAAAATAATGCGATACGATACAGATCTCTTTCGCTTACTGATTTTTTAATTTAAAGACAAGGTGTCAAGCGATCTGTCGGTGACAATAATTAACAAAATATTTTTGTTTAAAAAATGCTTTCTTTGCAAAACAAGTTGGTAGGTGTTTCTAAAACACAGCTAAAGGTTATTATAATTCTTTTTTAAAGCGCTAACTTTCCCCACCAAGACAAATGCTCAGCGTTTGGTAATTTGAGCAAATCTCTGCCTTTCAGCAATCAAAACGAATAGCTTTTTTTGTATTTAAGCCAAAGTCAAAACGCTTACCAACCACTTTGCAAATTAAATGAGGGATGGTTTGTCAACCTGGTGAACGACTGCCGAGCTCATAGTATAACAATCTAAGAACGAGTTAGCTATTAAGTAACCATCAAGTAGCACGTTGGCATACACTTTTACAAACGAATGTTTCTCAGAAACGTTTTTGAAAGACCAGGAGACACAATAATTCTGAAATATCACCTCCTAATCAATATTTTTAAGCCGAAACTTTTCACACGTATGAGCAGATTTGGTGGTTACAGATATCTGGCTAGCTATTTTCTTTGTTTTTTAGAAAATGTAATTTAAAAAAAGAAACCAGCGATTAAAATTGATACGTTCAAAATTCGAACAAAAACTTTTTTAAAAAGGCACCTGGCATTGAAGGCCCCAGAAATCTTAAAGTATTGAGAGCAAATCAAAATCAACACAATGAAACAAAATAAACACAAAAGCAAATCAGCAAACAAGCAACCCCCCCCCCCCACCCCCAGCGCTCGCCCATTTTTGAAACTCATTATTTCTTCCAACTGGTCTTTTCTCGCGTGAGAAAAGGCTCACTTCAAACAACCTTCTGTTTGTCTTACTTGCCACTTCACCCGGGCTAATTTTTCCAACGCAGGTACGCATTTTATAAAAATGTGTACTCACAAACATGCAAAACACAAACATACACACACAAACACGCACAAATAGGCAAGCAGACTGAGAGGAAGATGGATGATAGATGAATCAGTTTCTACAAAATAGTCTTTAAGTATTTTCTATAACACTACCTTAGAATTACAAAGTTCTATGCCATTTTTGGCCATATTTAGTTATAGGCCTACTAAGACCATGGGGTCAGAATCAGAATATGTTCTGTCTGATTTCTCAAAATTGTCAGATTATTCTGGGTCGTTCTCAAGATATCTAAAGAATTGCATTTTTCAAAAGTTTGACATGTAGTAAATCTCCAAATTTTTAACGTCAAGTTTATCAAAATCAAGTACTGAGCAGATGGAACTTTGTTATTTTAGGGAACCGAATTGTTATTTCTAATTTTCTCTCTTTATCATTATCAGAGAACCCCCAAGATCCTTAATAAAAACAGCCAGCCAAACACCGTACCGAAATCTTGTGGTGTAATAATAGACCAGAGCCAGGTCCGACAGTCGAACGCTTCCACCAGGTTGAGCGGAAAGCCAAAGTTTGAGCCCCCAACCACCACCAGAACATCTCTGGGCAGACGCGGGGCGAATACGGAGGCGTCCACATGGAGCATCTGCTGTTTCTGAAGACGAAGGACGGCCTCCATCACCTGTCGACATACACCAGCAGGTGTTTACAAGGCATAAAACAGGAAGCAAGTTGAGGGGTGGGGGAGGGAGGACAGAGAAAGAAAGAAAGAAAGAGAGAGAGAGAGAGAGAGAGACAGAGAGAGAGAGAGACAGAGAGAGAAAGAGAGACAGATAGAGAGAGAGAG